ACCTACTTAGGCTCTTGTTTTCACTCACGTAATAGCATGTGGTGTTCCGGATGATCTTCTTCTTGTGCATCAGCTTTTCATTAGTCTAGTATCTCTTTGACTTGTTCACACTTGATGTGATATTCCGGATGATCTTCCTCCTATGTGCATGCGTTTTTCATTAGCCTAGCATCTCCTTGTCAAGTTCCTACTTGGTGTAATGTTCCGGATGATCTTCCTCCTATGTGCATGTGCTTTCCATCTAGTTCTAGCATCTCTTTGTCTTGTTCATACTTGGTGTAATGTTCCGAATGATCTTCCTTCTATGTGCATGTGCTTTTCATTAGCCTAGCATCTCTTTGTCTTGTTCATACTTGGTGTGATGTTCCGGATGATCTTTCCCTTCATGTATATGTGCTTTTCATTAGTCTAGCATCTCTTTGCATTGTTCATACTTGGTATGATGTTCCGGTTGATCTTCCTTCTATATGTATGTGCTTCCTTCATTAGTTCTAGCTTCTCATTGTCATATTCATATGCATTGTGATATTCCGGATCTTACTTAGATGATCTCTCTTCTATATGCATGTGCTTTTCATTAGCTCTAGCCTCTCATTGTCATGCTCATTGTGATGTTTCGAATCTTACTTAGATGATCTCTCCTTGTTATGGATGTACTCTCCACTAGTCTAGTCTCTCATTGTCAAGTTCATGGTCCGGATCTTTACTTAGTTGATCTCTTCTCTTTGTGCATGTGCTTTCAATAGTCTAGCCTCTCCTTGTCAAAGTTCAAGTTGGATGTGATGTTCCAAATCTTTACTTGGTTGATCTCTTCTCTTTGTGCATGTGCTTTCAATAGTTTAGCCTCTCCGTGACAAAGTTCATGTTGGATGTGATGTTCCGGATCTTTACTTAGTTGATCTCTTCTCTTTGTGCCTGTGCTTCCACTAGTCTAGCCTCTCCTTGTCAAAGTTCAAGATTGGATGTGATGTTCCGGATTTTTACTTTGTTCAATCTCTTCTCTTTGTGCATGTGCTTTCCACTAGTCTAGCCTCTCCTTGTCAAGTTCATGTTCCGGATCTTTACTTGGTTGATCTCTTCTCTTTGTGCATGTGCTTTCCACTAGTCTAGT